TGTACTCATACCTTTTTACAAGAGATTCTGTCACTGATAATGATGATGCTCAGACGTCCCCGTCCATCTGTATAGATGAAAAAGGAGCTGAAGACAAAATCAACAGGTGGATGGAGTTTTTCGTCTCAAATCATACGAAAGGCGAGGTCAAAGGGGTAATTGAAATAAAGGGGAATAAGGAAGGATCGTTTGTCGCGTGGCCGCTGAACAGATCTTTGGAACAAGTCTCCGCTTCAGCTTCTTGGGAAGGATTTCGCGAGGGCCCTGAAATCAACTGTTTTGTACTCCCGATTAGCTCCCTTCTTCAGAAGTCCTTTGCGTCAGGCGAGCCTACCCAGATACCTGCCAGTGGTTCTGGAGTTGCCGTTGTGCGGGATAGTAAGCCCTTCTATAAATCCCGTTCTAGCTTCTGTTGAAAACCTACTTTTTAAATTAGACGGAAAACGCCAACGCATTATCGAAAAAGTAGTTCATCTGCGAAACAAAATCATTAATTCCACTTCTCTACCTGACCTCGAGAATCCTCAGTCTGCTACGATAATACCATACCCTTCTCTTCAACCAGACTCACTCGAAGGGGTCAAAAAAGACGTCGAGGACGGCCTTCCCTTGCTCGCCTTTAGAGGGAGGTCTGTTCTTGCTTCTGAGGTAATCCCGACCCTCAAGAAACTTCACAGCGTGTACGGTCACTGCGTATTCTCCATGTCGGGGACCTACGGTACCGGAGTCAATTACCTTGCGACTGGCGCAGCCGTGGCTCTACTCGCTCAGCAATATCCTGTTATTTTCATTCCGTATATCTCTGGCAAAATTCCACTTCTCATAATCCGAGATGCTATTCTACTGGCTCTTTCCAATGTCGAAAATGGGCTCGAACGATGGGCTCAGGAAGTATTTGATTATTGCGAATCTGGAATGATGGGCTTTATCAGATTTTGTAATAAAATGGCTAACAATCAACACCAGCGTTTCATGTTTATCGTTCTCAATGTAGACAGAGTCTCCCAGGTCGAATATGATGACCTTCGTCAGCTGGTTGCAGGACATCTTTACTGTTTCACGGTCGATCCGAACAGTGAGCGCTGTCGCAATTATAATTCAGATACTGCAAAGTCCTTGTCTCTGAGAGGCGGACTTCAAGATGTGAATATTTTTCCTCTAACCTTTACAATTTATTACTTACCTTGATTTTAGAATGAGGTGGATGGGTGGTGGGCTCAGTATCAGGCTGAAGCGAGCCCAGTTGTAATCGACGATGATGCAAAAGACATCATTCTCACATCCACCGGCGCCGTGCCCTCGCTTCTGGAAGAACTCTTCTCGAGAGTTAAGCAGACAGGACGTTTTGACATTGATTATCTCCAGCCCTCTGCAGATATATGCGATCTATTAACCCAACAAATAGAGGCTTTGAGGATGAAGTATCCGCATCAGATCGAGTACGTCTTTAGTTGAAGTAACCGGTAAACTTCACGCTGATACGCGTTCAGAACCATCCAGAAAATCATCGCCGCCGCCCTCAGTAATGCTCCGTATTTCGTCCTTGGCAAGTCTTACACAGACAAACGGTTTATATACGAAAACGACAAAGGTTGCTGGACATGTCCAGGTCTCACAATTCTCAAGGCTGTGCGGACGTGCAGCCTAACTTTACACAATTTCAGTCGGTACTTTGAGATCAACGTCTCGCTCAGAACCATCCCTCGAATCGCGAAAAATAGGGTAATGCTCGGTTTTGTAGTCGAGTACGCCATCTCAAACGCCCTTGCGCAGACGGGCTTAAATATTGGAATTGGGAACAAACGCCTTCAGATTCCAAGTAATCTCTCGATGTCCCCTGTTTTGCAGACTAGTGCGCTTGGATTTATCCAAACATCCCAGATGTTCGTACCAGCAAAATCCAATCATCGATACGTCGACTTCGTAATAGTCTCATTCGAGAAATCGAAAAAACAAATCCAAATTCTCCCCGTTCGAATCACAATCATTAAAAACAAAAACCAGCATTCTGACTCATGTTCACAATTTTTCCAAAACGACTGGAGAGCCTGGAGAGATGCGGTTAAGAAACCGAGTAATTTCAAGATCAAATGGGTCTTTCTATGGGTTCTTCATATCGAAAAGTCACAAAGAGGCTGTACTTTTCATGCGCAAGACCGCTCTCACCCAGCTTATGAAGAGTGGATGGTAGATTTTGACTCCATTAATACTGATATTGGGCTGGCTTTGAGCAAAGTAGATTAAGTTAGATGTACGCAGATCTTCGGAGTGTAATGAATGTAGCAATATATGGTGTCAGAGTACAAAAATCGAAGCTTTGGACTGCCTTTATCTCTGCTACTACTGTACTGTAATTTCCAGAAATTTGGAATATATCCAGTATGCTACGACATACATAGACATCACAAACAAGACACAGTCCCAATTTACTCTCATTAAGCCGCCTCACTATTCATTAACCCCTCCTCCACTGGGCGAACCTTTCATCTTGACTCACCACTATCCTCTCATCCATAATTAAGAATTCCATTCTTCTTCGGCGTAGCGACACACCCCCCCTCCCCGTACACTCATTCCACGTCATCACCGAAGCCCCCTGCTGGGAATATACTCAAACATCGTCGGCCGAAGCTTGGACGGAAGATACTCATCCGCCGGACGACGATACCTCTGTCTGACCACACTCAAAACTCTTCTCCTTCCTTTCCAGGATCTAGCTCGGCAGGGGTGTGCGGGTAATCGCTTAAGGGTTGCCTAGCACAAAAGGCTGGCCATGATATCCAACAATATTTGGAGATGTTTTCCTGCGTCGAAGGAAAGGGAGACTTTTGATCCTTTGCCAGATCTTACTCCGGTTGGCCCAGCCCGGAGCTCAGGCGTACCAGAAATGTAAGTGACAGCTTGAAAAATGTTTCTTTGCGGCTATTGCTTCCTATCGATGCTCCAGAGTTGCAACCGAAAATGTCGGTAAAGAGAAACTTTTCAAGTTCTCATCGTTTGCCCCTCAAACTTTCAGAGTATTTGATATATATTCTAAGCTTCGCCACTGTGTGACCTGTGACCGGATCGACGAAATCCTGGTTTCGACATTCATTGTCGAATTGAATGAAATGGTACAGTATGTCCGAGTTTGAAGATTATAGAAGAGTTCAATGTAAAGCCAATGCGAAGCCGAGGGGTTAGAAAATGGTAGGAGTCGCAACCCAATCCGGAGGATTCCGACGCGGGTACCCACCTGCCCATGCTAAGCTTACCGGAGCAGTAAAATTGACTATGAATAGGTTAATATGATCCATGCTGTGAGTCCCAGGGCAATTTTGTCCTTTGTGTTGCTCATAAGTAGAGCTGAGGGTCAGTTTTCGTCACTAATAAAAATCCTGAATATTTTTGTGTCCGTATAATGCTCTGAAAATAGGTGTCTATGCTGAGTTGTATCAGAAGTATTAGCCGAAAATTTTAGAAGAGAAACTGGAATGAATTGAGCCAAAATGAAACAGTTTATTGGCCCCGATTACAACTCTGGGTACGATTGCAACTCTAGAGCATCGATAGTACTGCGGTGGATGTATACAATTAAGAACTATATAGCTGGGCCTTTGTATTTATTGAGCACTGCGAGACATGGAAAGAGCGGCTCACAGCATATAATCGATGCTGCTCTTTGGCACTGGCTTCGTTTATCTTTTGAAGTTCGACTCCTTTGTGGAACACTTGAATTCATAATTTATTTACAACCACATAGCGTAGATTGGACAAACTAATAGTAAATGCTCTCGGCTGGTTTAGCCCCTTTGGCCAAAAACGCATCGATCTCCAAGTCCCCGGTCCCTCCGACCGTGACAAGCTTTGCATGAGTTACGTGCTTCATATCAAACGCAACTAGCCCAGCACCTTCGAACAATTTCCTCATGTCTTCGGTCTCGAATCCGCGTTTGTGAGCTACATATTCAAGATTTTCCATCTCTTTCAAAGCCTTGGTTTGTTCCGAAGGAGCTTCGATGTCGATAATGATCAACACTCCGCCTGGTCTGAGAAACTTGGCAAGCATGTTCGTGATGTCCTGAGTTGATCCAAAATGATGATAGGCCATGGAGCACTGCGAGATAAGGTAAATCAAGAAAAGAGGTTGTCATTAAAAAGAAAAGAAAAGAAAGAGGGCCGAGACCACTTACAGTGATAACGTCAAACTGGGCGCCGTCGAGCTCGCCTTCTGCACCTTTGAGTTCAGTGCAAATGCAGGACATCTTGTCAGCGAAGCCTTTCTCTATAGCTTGTTTCGTATATTGATCTAGCATTCTCTGGCTTATATCAACTCCAAGGACAGATTTTACGTAGGGGACGTAGGAGCGAGTGGTGAGTCCTTCCCGTTCAATTCATCATTAGACGGAACTGATGAGACAAATTTGTCAAGTGCCTACCTGTACCACACGCAAAATCGAGGGCGGTGGTGGTCTCGGGATCGAAAGGATAAGCGTCCCGTATGGCCGCTCCGACACTGTACACATAAAGAAACGTATTGTAGATGTAAAATGGAGCGAGAACGAGCAAAGCTTACGCTTTAGCAAATTCGACATAGGAAGGATGATCATCGTACGATGCAGCATAGCCGGAAGCATTGAAATAGGCTTTATTGGCTTCGACGTAGTCGTGGCCTTGTCCATGAGGGTGGTGGTGGTGCTGCTGGTCGGACATCGTTCTTGTACTTTGTAGTAGCAGAATAGGCCTCAAAGACTGATATCAAGGTTGAGGTTGTTGAGGGACAGACAGCCACCTAGTAGCCTTTTTATACCGCAAGCGCCTTTTCCCCTGTTCCCGATACATGAGTCGTTACTTATCAACGGAGCGCTGTGTAGCTTCGTACTTCGCGAGTACCTTCACGGTCGTAAGCTCAATTTGGTGCCGAGGCAGGCGGTGAGTACCGCGCGGGTACCACAGCGGTCGCATTAATAAGCTGAAAGATTACGCAGATTGTACAGCTTACCAAAGCAAGGTTTAGGTAAGGGCTAGTAGCGTAGTGGTTATCGCGTTCGCTTTGCATCTGCATATTGGGTTCCTTTGCGAAAGGTCTCCGGTTCAAATCCGGACTAGTCCATCTACTGTGTAACTTATACTTTTAACTGTACCTGTAGTTTGTTTTTCTCTTTTTACATTGTCTCTACTCGCGTTACTGGGCAGATAAATATTAATGCTATAGAACACTACGTTTGGCCTACGATGCGGGCTACTTAACGCTGTAGATGTCTAATGACATACTTTTGGTCCCTCACCTAGAATGTTCGCTGATATAACAAGTATAGGACCAAGTAAAGTTCCATAGAAGTCGGAGGACAAGCGACATTTCTCAACTGCTGACCTCGCCATTGCACTTCATTGTTGCATTTTGAGCGACTTTACAGGCTACAATCACCTTCTTGGCGCGTATGATTCCTCCGAATTTGCCACCCTAAAAAGCCCTGAATCATTGAGATGACCTCTGATAACCTCTTTTCTACATAAGTAATGAACAGACTAATTCTGGAGCCGGACAGGATAAATAGAAAAATTGAGTAAAAATGTCAAGCAGGCCCAATGGACCCGAACAGGTAGATGCAACTGATGCGGAAGCAAATTCAAAAAGTAACACCTGATGAGCTTGCAGGGATATTTGACCGAGTCTTGTTACGCTGGTTCTTCAGCGAGCAGCAATTTATGGCAAGCACACAAGTCTGGCTAGCTACCGGTGGGTCGAAGGATAGAATGATCGCTTAGGTCCGTAGATCCTTCCTCCCTCCTTGCGCTGGTATAAAAGCTGGCAAATTCGAACGAAGGGTTCAGCAGTTCATCTGAACTACATTCGATCGATACGCTAAACTCTCACAAGAAACCTCTTCATCTACTCACACGAACCTTCATCACATCCACCATGAAGTTCCTGTCGCTCGTCTTGCCCGCTACCCTCGTCGCTCTTGTCTCTGCCGACCAACTCCGCTACGACGCCGTCTACGACAAGGCCGGCCAGTCCCTCACCACTGTCTCCTGTTCCGACGGAGCCAATGGCATGATCACCAAAGGTTTCACAACCTTTGGCTCTCTGCCGAACTTCGCCAACATCGGTGGCGCAGTCGCCGTCACTGGATGGAACTCGACTAATTGTGGTACCTGCTGGAACTTGTCCTATACGAACCCTCAAGGAAAGACCTCGAGCGTGAACATGTTAGCTATAGACAATGTCAAGACGGGCTTCGTTATCTCGCTGTCGGCGATGAATACATTGACCGGAGGGCATGCAGTGGAGTTAGGCGTGGTGAATGTTGTTGCGAAGCAAGTCGCTTCTTCGAATTGTAAACTTTGAACTCTGGGTGAGTCCTGTTCTTTCGGATATTCTTTGGGAAATGGGAATTCTTTACTCAATTAGCTACAGATTGAAAGATGGACAATTCGACTGTTCGTCGGGAGAACAATCGGATCTTGACAACAAACAGTTTTTCGGATTTTGTGTATAGTAATTACAATGATCGTCAGTTGTACTTGATAGATAAATAAATAAAACGTAAAAACTTACTGTATAAGAAAAGTACCTTCGCACTTGGCGAGTGCGTTCACGGTCGTAAGCTCAATTTGGTGCCGAGGCAGGCGGTGAGTACCATACGGGTACCACAGCGGTCATGTTAATAAGCTGGAAGATTACGGAGCTTACTATACCGTCGCCAGTAATGCAATCCAAAATGTCAGTATAGAGAAATTTTTTCAATTCTTGTCGTTCGGGCCTCAAAATTTCTACATGCACTCTTAGTATCCTCAAAATTGTTTTTATCAACTCTGAAAATTTTTGAAGTTCGGCGAAAGCAATTGCGAAGGGTTTTAACGAGAACCTTCAAAACGGCAGGGGAATACAATCGGGCGCTTAACAACCGTTATTGTTGAATTGTTTCAACTCTGGATGGTCTGAGGGAGAATAAAAATATTCAGAATTAGGTAGAAGGTGATCCTGGCCTAATAATCAATTTTCATGGCAAAATGTAGAGTTGCCGTGCTCTAAAAATCGAGGAAGGGTTGTACACCCGATAAGTCATCGTCTTTGCCGCTTTCCACACTTCCGAAATTCCTGAATATTTTCTGTTGCACTTTTTTCCCTCAAACTTGACGGCTACGCTGCTTACATTAATAAATCCTACAGAAAAAATTTGAAGCGCAAAGGTCTCAAAATACATACAGGAAAAGTGATTTGAGCCGGAGATTGCATTTCTAGTAGCTTTACTGGTGATGGCATAGTACCATCTGGACTAGTCCATTTACTGTGTAACTCACACTTTTGACTTTACTTGTAGTTATTTTTCTCTTTATTTGCGTTACTGGTGGAGATGATACAGAACACTACGTTTGGAGTACGATGCGGGCTACTTAGCGCTGTAGATGCCTAATGACATACTTTCGCCCCTTACCCAGAATACTCGCTGATATAACAAGCATAGGACCAAGTAAAGTTCCATAGAAGCCGGAGGACAGTGGACACTTCCGAGCAGCTGACCTCGCCATTGCACTTCATCGCCGCATTTTGAGCGATTTTACGGGCTACAATCACCTTCGTGGCGCCTATAATTCCACCGAATTTGCCACCCCAAAAAACCCTGAATCATTGGGATGACCTCTGATGACCTCTGATGACCTCGTTTCTACTTAGGTAATGATCTGGAACCGGGCAGGTTAAATAGAAAAATAGAGTAAAAATGTCAAGCCAGTCAATGGACCCGAACAGAGAGATGCAACTGATGTAGAAGCAAATTCAAAAAGTAACAGCTGATGAGCTTGCGGGGATTTTCGACCTAGTCTTGGTACAGTGGTTCTTTAGCGAGCTGCAGTCTAGGCAAACAGACAAGTCTGGCTAGTTATCCAAGGAAAGAATGATCTGAGCCTTGTCTAGTTCCGTAGATCCTTCTCCCTCCTCGAACTGGTATAAAAACTAGCAAATTCGAGCAGAGAGTTCAGCAGTTCATCTGAACTACATCGATCGATACACCAACCCCCCACAAAAAACCTCTTTAGCTACTCACACAAACCTTCATCGTATCCACCATGAAGTTCCTCTCTCTCGTCTTGCCCGTTACCCTCGTCGCGCTTGTCTCTGCCGACCAACTCCGCTACGACGCCGTCTACGACAATGCCGGCCAGTCCCTTGCCACCGTCTCCTGTTCCGACGGAGCCAATGGCATGCTCACCAAAGGTTTCACAACCTTTGGCTCTCTGCCAAACTTCGCCGACATCGGTAGCGCAGCCGCCGTCACTGGATGGAACTCGACTAATTGTGGTACCTGCTGGAACTTGAGCTATACGAACCCTCAAGGAAAGACCTCGAGCGTGAACATGCTGGCTATAGACCATGCCGCGACGGGCTTCGTTATCTCACTGTCGGCAATGAATACACTGACCGGAGGAAATGCGGTGGCGTTGGGAGTGGTGAATGTTGTTGCGAAGCAAGTCGCTTCTTCGAATTGTAAACTTTGAACTTTGAGTGAGTCCTGTTCATTCGGATAATCTTTGAGAAATGGGAGTTCTTTACTCGATTAGCTATAGGTTGAAAGATGGACAACTTCGACCGTTCGTCGGGAGAAGGATCGGATCTTGTGAACAAACATTTTTTTCGGACTTTGTGTATAATAATTACAATGATCGTCAGTTGTACTTGATGGATGAAAAATAAAATGTAAAAACTTACTGTATAATTACCTGAACATCTGACCAGTCAGCAGAGTTCGAAATCCGTCTTTCGAAACCTCGAAGCGAAGAAAGTTGAGAAATATCATCCTTGATAGGAGGCCGCTCAATAGATTCTACAAGGTTTGTTCGGGATGTAGAATGTTGTTCATCGAGATGAGAAAAAGAAGTCCTCAAGTCTGAGCATTTATGAGGAGGTCCAGACAGCGAATGGGTCTGCAAACTCTACCCCTCAGAGCCGCAGCCGTTCTATCATGAAGCTTTCCATCCTCGTACCCATCCTCGCAGCAGCCTTGACCTGGGCCGACGAGCTGCGCTTTGACACTGTCTACGACAATGGCAACCAATCCCTCGCCACCGTATCATGCTCGAACGGTGCCAACGGTCTCTTGACCAGAGGTTTCACTACATTCAACTCATTGCCCACCTTCCCGAACATTGGGGGTTCCAGCGCGATTCCGGGGTTCAATTCCCCACAGTGTGGTTCCTGCTGGAACGTGACATTCACAAACGCAGCTGGTGCTTCGACGAGTTTGAATATTACCGCCATTGATCACGCAGCAAGCGGGTTTGTCGTATCGCAAGAGGCGATGGATAAATTGACGAACAACAACGCAGTCGCATTTGGTGTTGTAAATGTGACTTCGGCTCAATTGGCGGCGTCTGCTTGTGGGCTCTGAGCCTGGGCGTAAGGAATTTTACTCATTTCGGGATCCAGGGAGAAGGCTATTCGACTTGGCGGATGAAATTGGCGGGTGAGATTGTCGAGACCGCGGAGGTGTATTCGATAAAATGAAATAAGCATCGGCTGTGTTCGATAGGAGAACGGACAATGTATACTTGTAATATCTTGAATTCCAATAGGCTATGCGATTCTGTACATGAAGCTTCCGCAGCTGGGCCGTACTTGAAGAAACCATCATTTTGAAGACAAGCGCAGCGGAAAGAAAATTCCGAAAAGGTGTAAAGTAGCGAGATATTCTACACGTATACCTCGCTTCCTTAAGGATTCAGGAGGTTCATTCTTGGATCTGTGGGACCAAACTTGTGCTGCAGAGATCCAGAAAAGACCACAGTGAAGCCAGCAGTGCAGTGGAAGTTGAACGTCGAACGTCGAGGGGGAACGGAGCAAGGTGCAAGGTGCACGGTAGGCCCGAGTTTGTCATTTTGCATCGTGTCAGCGGCGCCGAACTGTCACAAGACCTCGTGACTCCAAGGTGTGACACCGTTCGCGTTGAACGCGTCGCGTCTATCCGCTGGTCCACCTTGATCATTATTTAATGGACGCGATAATGGCCTCAAACTTCCATCGCAGCAATGTTTTCTCCTCCTATTTACCGCTCGCTCTTACTTTTAGTTGCTCTTCGCAGTGTTCAAGCTCAATCTTCCTCGTCTTCTCTT